GGGGGCGTGAGCCCCCCGGGCCGTTGGGCGGGCGCCCCGCGGCTTCCGCCGCCGCCCCCGACTTAGGAATAACTTTATGAAATTCTTGGGGGCCAGCAGGTGGCTGTTAAGGGCAATGGACTCCCACATGGTCGAGCATGGTTCACGTCCTGGACCTGATGGCTTGCTTTCTCACTTTCTTTCTCTCTCTCCCCCTCTGGTCAGATTACAATAAATAAAGTAAGTTAAATAATTTTTAAAAAATAAGTTTTTAAAATTCTTTATGCTGGGAACCAGCAGTTAGCACAATGGCTATGTCACTGGACTCCCACGTAGTCGACCGTGGTTCGTGTCCCGGACCCGGTGGCTTAAAACTCACGCCGGGCGCATGTGCGTGCGTGCCCAAGATCCCGAGTGGAGAATGGAGGAGAAGGGATTGCGGCGTGACCATCCCCCCCTGGGGGGTGATTTCTCGCTTTCTGTCTCTATGTCTCTCTCTGTCTGTCTGGCGAGCGCATGTGCCCTACAGTAAAAAAATCTCTCTCTCAAAAAAAATTCTTTATGCTGTAGCAGACTCTGGTGATGGATATTAAAGCTTTTTTACTTTCAGGATACTTCAGATGGAGACTAAGAAGGAGATAATCAGATTCTTTCTCCAATACCGAGGGTTATTCTCAGCAATTTTGCTTAGCCTCTGAGGACTATATAAGTGGCAAGTAACAATGGCAGGTTCAAAGCAGCTTGTGTAGTTAGTAGAGCAATGTAGAGTATTTTTCAGTGTTGAAATGAGTCTGAAGGCTGGGTAATTGTGCTCTACTGGTACAACTTGGTGGCTGTAGTATTCTCTCTCAGCCTGAATCCTAAATGAAGACTATTAATTGTGCTGAATTACAGACATAAAATGCCCTTAAATTTAGGGTGGTGAGACAGAAGCTGTGGCTTAACACCATAGCCACGTTGGTGTGTACACATAATGTTAAAAAGCTTGAACCTCACAGTCAGCATATGAGATCCAGTCCTGTAACTACCATGCCACCTGGCATGGCAGTGGTTATTTCAGCAGTGCTGTGAAGAAAACTACGTAATACTAGTTTCGATTATGGTGGCCATGTAATTCATCCCAGTTGAATACTCCTCAGAGTGATAATTATTACCTCAGAATAATGTATATAAACTAGAAGTGGCCTAGACAAACCTCAATGTGTGACCTCTCTAATTCAGGGGCTCTTGATTGCAAGTAACAGAAAACACAGCTCAAGCTAACTTGGACAATAAGGGAAATATTTTGTCCTGTGTGTCTGAAAAGGCAAGTATTTAGGACTGCTACAGGTGTGAATCATTGAGACTGTGGCTTCGTTTGTCTATTTTGTAGGCTGCCTTCTGTGGTTGAATTCACTTGCAGTTGTTCAATGTCTGCCAGCAGTAACCTAGGCTATTCTTCATTTATGACCAGCAGGAGAGAGAAGCCTGCTTCTCCCATAAACACAGTTTGAGTCTTGAGGCTTTGTGATTATTAGATACTTCTGAACTGTAATCTCTATGGCTAAGGGAATGTTATGTGCTGATTGTCTTAGGCATGGGATATCTAAATATTACGGAAGCCGAGGATAGAATTACTCAATTCTCTTAGACTAGTCAGAGTCCAGCCAGGAAACTGGTCATAAGGTCAGTCAGTCTAAGAAAGCAATGAAGCAAAATAAAGGGGGAAAAGATTAGAAAGTAACCTTATGTTCACTGCAAGGTTTAGTGTGGTTTCTTATTTGCATTTTCCCTTAAGCATCTATTAATGAGTTTGTGTAAGAGCCTAGCATACTGCAGATGTGTTTTCCATCAAGTGAGAATTTATAGTCTAAAATGCTTACCCTAGTAACGGGAGGAAGAAAGAAAACTTAGCAATGCTATTTTCTCTGTAAGATTATAATTGTTTCTTTTTCGTATTTTTTTTTTTTTAGACTAATAGGGATGCCAAAGGAAAAATATGATCCTCCAGATCCTCGCAGAATTTATACCATCATGTCAGCAGAGGAGGTAGCCAATGGGAAAAAGTCTCACTGGGCAGAATTAGAAATCTCGGGTGAGTAGCAATTTCAGACATTTAATCTGCATATAGTCATAATAATAAACAAGGTTGGAGTATTGTTATTACTTTGTTGTACATTTTTAATTAGGTGGGCTAATTGAAAAGCTACAAGAGGCAAAGGTACTATTTTCTAATCTATGACTAACTATCTTTGGTCCCACCTTTTTTTTTAAAGAATTATTTTATTTATTTATTATTATTTCGCATGAGTTTTGCCAGAGAAAGACAGAGAGAGGGAAAGTGAGAAAGCAAGCCACCAGGTCTGTGACTCGAACTGTGGTCAGTCTTGTGGGAATTCCAGCATCTTAACCACCACGCCACCTGCCGGCCCAGTCCCACCTTTTCTTTTGAGGTTGAGAGCAAGAACTGGCATCTGAAATTAAGGATTTGGGGAGTTCAGTTTCTAAAGTAATGATATATAGATTTGTTTTGGTTACTTCAGAGTAATTATTTTTGCAAATTGAAATCTTTCCAGTGTTGGCAAAGAAAGAAACCTTGTAGCTGTTTGCTTATTCTAACGAATATGTGATAACTACATTATAAGGCCTTCATATATGTTTAGAATTTGATAAAATAGAATATGATTCCTAAAAACTCAATCCCCTGTCTAATAAATGAGAAAAACATCAGACAAACTCAAACTGAAGGTTATATTACACAATTCCTACCAGTAATTCTCAAAATTATCAAGGTTGTGATAAAGATATAGGAATTGTCAAAAACCAGAGGAGACTAAGGAAATATGATTACTAAATGTACAGTAGTACCCTGAATTGGATCCTGGAATAAAAAATTATAAAAACTGGTGAAATCTAGATAAAATCTGGAGGTAATAGTAATGCACTAACATTGGCTTCCTGGTTTTGAGAAATGTACCATGGTGTAATGTAAAATTCTACTATTATAGGGACTCTCAGTGTTAGCTTGGTAACTTTTCTCTAAATCTAAAGTAAATTTCTTAAAAGAATGTAAGAATAGACTTTTTCTTTTATGAACTGGCATGAGACAGATTATATATAGAGTGTAAGTTTTTCTCCAGTATGCTTTCATTTTGAAGAGTGAAACCACCTACATTGTACTGTCAATAATAAGAATTACTTGTGCACTTAGCTAAAGGGTAACTGGGTAGATGGGTAGGTGATTTGCAGTTAAAATAATGAATATAAGCAAATCCTATTAAGTTTTAGCCAGGGTTTCTCAACCCTGTTTCTCAATAGTACTGACATTGGGCCAGATAATTCTTTGCAGTAGGGAGCAATTATGTGTATCATAGGATGTTCAGTAGCATCCTGGATCTGTCTACTAGATACCAATAGCACCCCTTTAGTCTAACAACCAAAAATGCCTATAGACATAGAAAGTTCTTTGGGAGCAAAATTGCTTCTGGTTTAACAACTTAATTAAACCTTGGGTAATGTTGAAGTAAGTTTCTCTCTTACCCAGAGCCTTTTCATTTGAAAACTTCATTTTCTGTTAAAATGCAAAGTTCTAGTGACCATTTCAGGTCTGAATGTAGACAGCAGGAAAGTACCTGTGCTAGATAGAGCCCTGGACAGAGGGTGAAAGTATGAGTGTACTGCTCAGTAGCTACATTGAAAAGAAATATTTCCCTTTTGAGATTTTGTGCCTTTTCTACTCTGCTGCCCCTCTAATCAAAATTTATTGTTAGGAAAATGATATGTACTTAAAATACTACTTTTATAAAGTTTATAGAAGATATTGATCAAAGTTTTATATAATTAATGCTATAAGTGAGATAAGATAATATTCCATTTTATGGAAGCTAAGGCTAGATGATTTGCTCAGACTTACATGGCAAAACAAATAAATGATAAAACCAGAAGACTGAATCAGGTCTCACTTTTTCTAGTATATGTTCCACCATTGCTGTCAGATGCTGACTGATTTGATAGAGCTCTGAATGTGTGACTATTAAGTGTATGTTGCAGATTTTTTAATCTAGAATTGTTACTCTAACACTGTAATGTAAAAAATTTAGGGAAGATATTTCCTTTAGGTGGAAAATTGTTTTTCTAGTGGCTAATAAATATCAAGTTGGTGGTAAATCATAGTCATTTACTTTTGTCTGTTTAAAGTTCATACTCTAATCTAGGGTCCTAGATATGAATAAAACTTGTACTGTTAATTTTCATGCAGTACGTGAAAAAATTCATGACTATTCTGCTGCAAAAGTTGAATTTATCCTATGCTCTCTGCTGGAGACCTGAATCTAAGTATCTCCATTTGCCATGTCTGATTTAATACGTGGAAGGTCCACAAGAAAGAGTGGTTGTCAGGTGAAGGTGGTATGAAATTAAAGGTGGGCTTGATGTGTTTAGAGGCAATAAAGTTATTTCGAATATGAAAGTAAAATGATAAAGATACAATATCTGTATATTTGCAGGCTCTTCAACCACTTTTTCATCTTTGCAGTTCAGTCTTACATTGGCCTAGAATTTTATGCTTCAATTTTGCCTTTTAGGTAGAGTGCGGAGCTTAAGTACATCACTTTGGTCATTGACACACTTGACAGCACTGCACCTAAATGACAATTACCTTAGTCGCATTCCACCTGATATTGCCAAGCTTCATAATCTGGTTTACCTGGATCTGTCATCCAATAAACTCAGAAGTTTACCAGCAGAACTAGGAAACATGGTGTCTCTCAGGTGAGAAAATACAGACATGACTGACAATGTAAAATTTTATCAAATAAAATTATGAGATGTTACTCATTTTATAGTAGGATCTCTGTAAGTATGTGAAGATCAAATGGTAAAAAGTTTCTTTTTTCGAGAGATTTTTGCTATAGGATGTGTGTGCTCACCAGAGAGACAGACAGAAAGCAAGAAATCACCCCCCCACCCCTGGGGGGATGGCCATGCCACAGTACCTTCTCCTCCAGTCATCTCTTGGAATTTTGGGCACTGACACGCTTAGGCCTGGCGGGAGTTTTAAGGCACCAGGTCTGGGACTCAAACCGTGGTTGACTATGTGGGAGTTCAGCAACATAACCATTACACCATCTGCTGGTCCCCAAATGGTAAAAACTTTCTAAGTATAGTGCTTGAACTGGCCTCCATTGAATGTTTCTTTCTCTAAAGTGGGAGGTTTCTCTACTTATGTAAACATTTTTTTCTTTGACAGACTTAAAGTAAGGTGGGATTAAAATAGTTTCACTTTAGGCTCACTTCTAATAAAACTATTAGAAATAATACAGAAAATATGACTTTTTGCTTATAAGTAAAACTTACAGTAACATATCTCTACTATTTAAGACAAAGTCTATTTATATTTTATATTACAGTTCCTTAAGGAAACTTTTAGACCTGATGAAATGAATTTATTTCTAGTCCTTCAGCATTCTCTAAAAATTTCTTCAGGGGACTGGCATGTGGTATAATGATTATGGTGCTGGACTCCCACATAAGTCAACCATGGTTTGAGTCTGGACCTGGTGGCATAAAACTGATGCTAGGAATGTGTGTGTACCTAAAATCCTGAGAGGAGAATGGAGAAGAAGGGATTACAGGGTGGCCATCTTCCCCAGGGAGCAGGGGGAGGTGATTTCTCACTGTCTGTCTCTCTGTCTGGCAAGTGCATGCACCCTGTAACAAAAATCTCAAAAAACAAACAAACAAAACAAATTAAAAAAAAAACTTCATAGGAGAAATTTTATAGGAATTGAGGGATTTTGTATGTATGTTCCCAATGAAACAGAATTGTTTTTCTATTTTATTTAGGTGCAAGTAATAATTTTCAAAAGTTGCTATCATATTTAAAAATTCTAAACATATTTTTAAAAATATCTTGTTCTCGGGGCCAGCAGATGATGTGATTGAGGTGCTGGACTCTCATATGGCTAACCACCATTCAAGTGCTAGACCTGGTGACTTGTTTTCTCACTTTCTGTCTCTGTCTCTCTCCCCCCCTCCCCAGTCAAATTAAAAAATAATAATAAATAAAATTAAATAAAATAATTCTTTGAAAATTATATCTTGTTTTTTTTTACTATCCCTTATTAAATTATTTTGTTTTGAATCAAAATGCTATTTATTATTTCTGTAGTCTACTCAAACTTACAGTCAGAAACTTAGAGCTTATTGGGGCAAGCAGGTGGCGTGGTGGTTAAGGTGTTATATTCCCACATGACTGATTGCGGTTTGAGTCCTGGCAAAGACTTTAAAAAGATAAATAAAGCTTAGAACTTATCTGTGCTATTCTAGTTCATACTATCTTGTGCTTTATTATTTAATTTATTAAGTTAGTTAGTTTTAAATAATTATTTTATTTAACTATTTATTTATTTAAATTCAACCAGAGAGAGAAAGAGATAGGGAGAAGGAAAGTGAGAAAGCAAGCCACCAGGTCTGGGACTAGAACCATAGTTGGCCATGTGGGAGTCCAGTGCCCTTAACCACCTTGCCACCTGCTGACCTCCTTATTTATTTTTTTAAGTTTTTTTTTTTTTTTTTTTTTTTTTTGAGTGTATGTGCTCACCAGAGAGAGATAAGAGGTTGGAGGAGAGAGAGGGAGAGAAAGAGGGAAGGTGAGAAATCACCTTGAGCGGATGGTCATGCCGCTATCCCTTGTCCTCCTTCCTCCTCTTGGGATTTTGGGCATTCATACACACGCACCTGGTGTGATTTAAGCCCTCAGGTCTGTGACTTGATCCATGAAGTCAGCCATGTGGAACCTAGGTACCTCAATCTCCACTCCTCCTGCCAGCCACCCAAACATTTATTTTAACACCTACATTGTATGTCAGTGATCATCCATCATAACTTTTTGTCTTCATATTTTCTATTTAATTACCTTTTATGTTGTTGATAAACTGCCTTGCTTCTCTTTATTAGTTTCATTTGTTTTTATAGTATTTCAATATTAGAGTTGTAATCAGTTATAAAACAGTGATGCAAGTGATTAGCTACTAATTATAGCTCAGTCTTAAAGTTTGTGGAAAAAAAATTGCTGTTTTCTCTAAATTAGGCTAAAAGAGATCTGTTGTCTTTGTATTCTAAGGGTTGCTGTCACTTTGATTTGAATCTGATAAGCATTTTGACTGAGAGATGAAAAGGGATAGATTTAGCCTGAGAATAATATGCAATTACTGTGTCTGACTTGAACCTGTGCTCGTGAATATGTACATGTTAGGAACACCCTGAACAGTTGCGGCAGTTACGCATTGGTAGTACTTTATATTGCACAGCATTTCTGTGAGCCTGTAGAAATGTGTCTTGGCTGTAAACATCACTCATAATATGTTAGAAGGAAAGTTAAGAGTGGGAAATGTAGATGATGATAAAATTTGATACGTTAAAACTTTCTTTTCTTTTTTTAAACAGGGAATTGCTTTTAAATAACAATCTGTTACGGGTTTTGCCTTATGAACTTGGTCGGCTCTTCCAGCTACAAACTCTAGGTTTGAAAGGTGAGTCATTTAAAAAAACAAAACGATAGTCTTCACACTCAATATTGAGGTCTCCTGAGCCTTTTAAAGGCCATTTGGATTACAATATTTGTCAGATTTTATTGTATCAATAGTATGATTTTGTGAATGTGACTCTCAGGATTTGGGGCACACATGCACATGCGCCTGGTGTTAAGTTTCAAGCTGTCAGGTCCAGGACTCAGACTTTAGTTCACCACATGGGAGTCCAGTGATGTACCCAATACTCAGTCTGCTGGTCCCTACTTCAATCTTCATTTTTAAGATTGTTCCTTCTATCTTTTATGATATTTCTTTTCTCTCCTTTTTTTAAGTTGGACATAGGATTTTTTAATTTTTAGATTTGCTTATTTTCAAATATAAGCATTTACGGCTGTAAGTCTGTTTGGCTACTTTTTCATCATATCCATAATTTCTATATGAAATATTTTCATTGTTGTTTGAGTCTAAGTACTTTTAATACAGGCTTTCATTGATCCATAATTTTTTTTTTTTAAACCATACAGTATGTCTTTTTTTTTTTTTTTTTAAGAATTGTTTTATTTATTTATTTTTTAATTTGATCAGAGAGGGACACAGTGAGAGAGCACGCGTGAGATAGGAAGGGAAAGTGAGAAAGCAAGCTGCCAGGCACACACATACATGCATGAGAGAGAGAGAGAGAGAGAGAGAGAGAGAGAGGGAAGGAGACAGGAAAAAGAGAGAAAGCATCACCCCACAGGGCTTGCCTGTGCTGCACCCTTTTTCCTCCAGTCCTAGGCATGTGGCATGAACTGCTGGTACATAAGCCACTGAGGTCATATAGAGGCTTATCAGTTTTATTGCTTCTTTTTCAAAGTGTTACCTTTTGTATTTAGTAATACTCTATTGTTTTTCTGTGTTAAATTAATTGATTTCTATTCTTTATTCCTTTTGCTTGCATTCTGTTTTTTTCTTTTTAAAATTCTGAATATAGAAGTTATATCATGATTTTTTAATCTTTTTTAACTAAACATTTAATGCCGTCAGTTTTCCTCCAAAACCTGATTTATCTATATTGCCCAATTTTTTGTAATGTGTTTACATTTTTAATTAAAACACTTTTAAATTCTCTTGTGATTTCCTCTTTGACCAAAACATTATTTAGAAGTGTATTGTTTTATTTCAGAATATTTGAGAACTTTCCAGGTAGTCGTCTGTTGTTGGTTTCTAATTTTATTTTGTTATGTTCAGACACAAGGCTTTATATGATTTCATTTCCTTTAAATGTATTTCATTTTGTTTTCTTGCCCAAAATATAATTTCCCTTGGCAAATGTTCATGTGCACTTAGAATATGTATCTTCCTGTTTTTGAGTGGACTGTTAATATTATAGTATATAAATACTAGTTTTGTGAAATTAGTTTACAGTACTCCAATCTTCAATCTTTACTAATTTTTTTGGTCTACATTTTCTGTCAGTAACCAAGAGAGGAGTGCTTGAAGTTCTCCCATACAATTCTTATAGCTCTTTGGAGGCACTGCTTCACTGTATTCTAGTTTATTTTGTTGCTGTGGAATCTTATTGTCATTCTCTTTTTTAAAATCTCATGTTTACTCTTTTTTTTAAGAATTATTTTATTCATCTTACATTTTTCCTCCCTCCCTCTTTCC